TTCACTCTCTTTGAAGGAGAGTAGCTGGTGAAGTCTTCACAAAAGAGGACACACATAAGCTGGGTCTTGAGGAAAGTGGAAGTTGTGCATGGAGGGTAGATTCCAGGCACAGGGAACAGTACATGTGAGGACACGGAGTTCCCACCCAGCACACTCAGGGCACTGTGAGTGGTTCAGTATGGCTGGAACAGAGATGTTGGGATGGGGTGGGGAGTGCAGGGGAAGATGAAGGAATAGACAGGAAGTCAGTCTCAGAGGAGTTTTTGAGTCCTCTGAGGCCTCACTGCTCAAAGAGAGTGCATTACCTGTGTGCTTGTCAGAAATGCAGACCCTCAGGCCCACCACAGGCCTTCTGAATCAGAATCTACACATATTTAGTTATTTAGAGACAGGGTCTCACTCTATTGCCCAGGCTGAAGTGCAGTGGTGTAATCACGGCCCAGGTGATCCTCCCACCTCAGCCTCCTGAGTAGCTAGGAATACAGGCATGCACCTCCGTGCTTGGCTAATTTTTAAAATTTTTTGTGGAGACAGGGTCTCACTATGTTGCCCAGGCTGGTCTTGAATTCTTGGATTCAAGGGGTCCTCCTGCCTCAGCTTCCTAAAGTGCTGGGATTACAGGCATGAGCCTCCATGCCCAGCCAGAATCTACATTTTAGGCCGGGTGCAGTGGCTCATGCCTGTAATCCCAGCACTTTGGAATGCCAAGGCAAGTGAATCACCTGCGGTCAGGAGTTTGAGATCAGCCTGACCAACAAGGAGAAACCCTGTCTCTACTAAAATTAGTCGGGTGTGGTGGTGCATGCCTGTAATCCCAGCTACTCGGGAGGCTGAGGCAGGAGAATTGCTTGAACTCGGGAGGCAGAGGTTGTGGTGAGCCAAGATCATGCCATTGCACTCCAGCCTAGGCAACAAGAGCGAAACTCTGTCTCAAACAACAAAAACAACAAACCAGAATCTACATTTTAATAAGAGGTTCAGGTGATTCCTTTGTGCATTCAAGTTCAAGAAGCTCTGCTCTGATTTAACACCTTCAAACTTTATTGTGTGGGCACTGGGGAGCCTTTGGGGGCTTTCAGCAGGGGCAGGACACAGTTGTTCGGTCCACCTTCCTTGGTGTCTGCAGCAGGGTTTGGTTCTTCATATCCTCTTCCCAGTCCTCTCCTTCCCTGTTTCTTCATCAGCCCCTCTGCCACCACTAACCCCAAACACTCCAGTCCTCCATCCACTACCTGTCTTCACAGACTTTTACTCAGCCTCACTGCCCTGAACACACCTGGTGTAATTCTTGAGTGCAAGGAATCCCTTGGGTTTGAACAATGATAAATGAAAATGTAAGATTCCATGATTCTATGAAATGCTTTGCACAGCAGGGTGACCTTGTGGAATTCATTATGCCCAAGCAGTGGCACATGCTGAAAACATAAGTAGGCTCAAAAAACATAGAGAAAGATTCACAGATGTAAGTCCATGGTGAGTTAAGAAGGGAAACAGGATGCAGAGATGTGGTCCCTAACCTTTTCTTGGTAATAACCTGTATTGGTTTCTGACTATAAAACTAATATATGTGCATTAGAAAGCTGGAAATACATTAGTTTGAACAAGAAAACAAAAGGTCAGTCAGAGAAAAAATCAGAAGGGATTAAAAACAAAGAGAAGGAAATCAGGGGCATGCACGCACACACACACATACACACACACACACACACACACACACATTCTTCCCACCTCCTGCCACTCCTACCCTGTCCTTCTGATTTGGTTATAACTAAGATTGCAGATTGATCAATATTCAATGTTTACATTATCAAGACTGTAAACCTGTTGACCACTGAACTATGTAGTATACAATGATTACTTCTCCTTCCTTGCACAACATTTTGCTTTTCTGGGAGCTGATCATTGTTGTTAGTTATATGTTCAATTGATTAGTTTTTTCATGTCCTTATCCTTATTAGTAATTTCTTTCTTTCTTTCTTTCTTTCTTTTTTTTTTTTTTTTTTTTTTTTTTTTTGAGACGAAGTTTCACTCTTGTTGCCCAGGCTGGAGTGCAAATGGCACGATCTTGGCTTACCACAACCTCCGCCTCCCGGGTTCAAGCGATTCTCCTGCCTCAACCTCCCGAGTAGCTGGGATTACAGGCATGTGCCACCATGCCTGGCTGATTTTGTATTTTTAGTAGAGACAGGGTTTCTCCATGTTGGTCAGGCTGGTCCTGACCTCAGGTGATCCGCCCGCCTCAGCCTCCCAAAGTGCTGGGATTACAGGCTTGAGCCACTGCCCCCAGCCTATTAGTAACTTCTTAACTCTTCCCTAAGTGGGTAAATATTCTCTGAATATATTCAGATACATTAAATGGTTTGTTGTTGTTGTTCGTTTTTTTCTTTGAGACAGGGTCTTACTCTGTCCCCCAGGCTGGAGTGCAGTGGCGCAATCCCAGCTCACTGCAACCTCCGCCTCCAAGGTTCAAGCAATTCTCGTGCCTCAACCTCCCGAGTAGCTGGGATTACAGGTGCGTGCCACGATGGCCCAGGTAATTTTTATGCTTTTAGTGGAGATGGGGTTTCGCCATGTTGACCAGGCTGGTCTCAAATTCCTGGCCTCAAGTGATCCTCCTGTCTCAGCCTACCAAAGTGCTAGGATTACAGGTGTGAGCCACTGCACCCAGCCCATTAAATGTTTTATCAATTTCATCTTGTTGATGCCATCTTCTCTCTTGGAATCTTCTGACTGCTGTAGCCTGCATTGGTCACTCTGAAGATCTGCTGCCCAGCTGCTGTTCAATAACCTTCCATCTCCATCCTGGGGATTTCCTTCAACTCTCCTCTGTTAAAAACCTGCTTTCTAGGTTCCATACACTCATACACTTTCACTTCTGGTTTTTCTACCTCATTTTGGTGGAAGATTTTCTCCAGTAGCTTCCTGAGAAAGAGCTCATAGAAGACAATGCGTTTGGTTTCTTGCATGTCTGGAAATGGCTTCATTCTGTCTTCACACTAAATTAATCATGTGGCTGTGTATAGAAGGGAAAATTAGAAATCATTTTCCTTCAGAACATTCAAGGCATTGTTCCATTGCCTTCCAGCTGTCACTGTGACTGGTGAGAGAGCCACTGCTGTCGTGATTCCTGATCCTTTGTATGAAATCTGTCTTTTTGTTTTTCATCTTTCTGAAAACATGTAGGAGGATTTCCTCTCTGTCCTCAGTGTTGTGAAAACTCACCATGTTTTGTCATTTGTGAAACTATTTTCATCCATTATACTTGACACTTGATGGGCCCTTCAGTTCTAGGAAATTTTACTGAATTGCTTCCTTGATAGTAGTTCCTTGATGGATAATTAGATAGTTCTCTCTGCTTTCCCTTTCTGGAACTCTTATGTGAGACCTCCTAGGCTGGACCTTGTCTTTTGTCTATATTTTCCATTTTCCATCTTTTTTTGCTCTACTTTGTGGAAGATTGCCTCTAGCTTATTTTCCAACTGTTCTATGGAGTGTTTCATTTCTGCTATTATATTGTTAATTTTCAAGAGGGTTTTTTGTGCATTAAATGTTCCTTTTTTCCAATATTTTGTTATGAAAGTTTCCAAACACATAGACAAGTTGAAATAATTTTATGGCAAACACCCATATAACTATCACCTGACTTGAACCTGGGAGGCAAAGGTTGCAGTGAGCCGAGATCGTGCCATTGCACTCCAGCCGGGGCAACGGTGTGAGACTCTGTCTCAAAAAAAGGAAAAAAGAAAAAGAAAATAGAAAGTAAAAACTGAGAGGAAAACAGTGCTTATTTTAACTCCTGACGGCACTGTTTGCAGGAGTCATGCTTCAGTGCCTTGTAAGAAGTTTACCAAACTGCCAGCCTCATGGAGCAGGAGACCTCTTTAAGATGGGTGGGCCAGGTGCAGGGGTGGGGGTGGGAGTTCTTGCACAACTCTGTTGATGCTTGGTTGACCCTGACGGATATTCTGGGCCATGCTGGCTTTTGACTGGAACCTGCTACCTAGGTTGACCCTTCAGTTCCTCTCCTTATCAGCTCTGTTATTTCCAATCTCTAGCTCACATCTTGCCCAACTCCATTCCACTGTCTGTTTCAGTTTGCATCCTTTTTCCCTTCCATTTAAATTTTCCCCAAACAGATCTGGCCTTAGTCACCTACTTGTATCCTCTATTGAGTTTTCATTCAACAACATTTGTTGAGCATCTTTGTGCCATGCCCATGGTAAGTACAGGAGACTCAAGGTTGAGAATAACACAGCATTGCAAGTACATCCTCTGGATCCAAACTACCTGGGTTCGAATCCTAGTACCATCATTTCTAACTGTAGGATCTTGGACAAGTTACTTTGTTGTACTCCAGTGTCCTCATCTATATAAAAAGAATAATAATACGGTCATTTAATCATGGGGTTAGTGAGAGGATTGACTAAGCTTAGAAGGGTGTCTGGTGCCCGGTAAGCACTCTTTAAGTGCTGGCTCTTAAGGCGCGGTCCTGTTCCCCCTGGGGGACAGGACTGAGTCGGCCGGCTTCGCAAGTGACCTGCAGCTCCTGGCTACCCTTTCCTGAACCGGGTGGAAGTTCTTTAGTCACAGATTCACTGTATGGCCCCAGACAAGTAAGTTCTCTCCGGGTCTCACTTTTTGCATTTATAAAGAAAGGAAATCGGACTAAAATTGATTTCCAAGATCCCAACAAACTATTATCCTTGCTCTGGGTCAAGCAGCCCAAGTTTCAAACTATGTCAGTTTGGCCAAGACACTTAGCCCTCAGAGCTTGTTTCATCCCTGTAAAACGTGGATGATATTGCTAATCCCCTCCCAGTGTTGTGATGAGGGTTTAATAATACAAGGCAAGCCCCACGCGCTCGCCGGCTACAGGCACACAGCGCGAGGAAGTCGGGACAGCCTTTTTGATTCACCGCAGAATTCGATCCACCCGCCCTCGCCGTTCAGCGCACGCGCGCTGGCACCGCCCCGCCCCCGCCGATCGCAGGTCCCGACTTCCGGTTCCGCCAGGGCCCAGAGGCGGTGATGAGGCTAATGGCGGTGCCCTCGGAACTGGATGGAGGGAGTCTTAAGGAGACCGCAGCGGAAGAGGAACCGCGAGTTCTGGAACCCGGCGCCGCCCCGTTCGGAAATTTTCCTCATTATTCTCGCTTCCACCCTCCGGAGCAACGGCTCCGCCTCCTGCCCCCGGAGCTGCTTCGACAGCTCTTTCCTCAGAGTCCCGAGAACGGGCCGATTCTGGGGCTCGACGTGGGGTGTAACTCCGGGGTGAGTGACAGGGGAGGGATTGGAGCATCCGGAACCAAGCGGTTGGTTGCCTACACATCCACTGTGGTTCTGGCCTGGGCTCACACCCATCAAAACTTCCCCAAATCGAGTATAAAGCGTGGCGTTGACCTTGCCAGTGCTGCTGATGCCTGCCCGCCAGGGTTCCACCATCTGTCTTAGGAATCTCTCTTGGAGAGGAGTCTTTGTCGACTACGTTCCCACTTCTATTTAAGGGCCAGACCCCAGGTGGGGACGGTCCCTGTATCTAGGGTGGCCTCTGTCCAGCGTGCCTGGCGCTTTGGCTGGGGAGAGGGGGCTTCCAGAGACACACGTTTGGGAACATGGGGTTAGGTTTGGTTTACTGGGAGAGAAAAGCCAAGGGTGACAGAATCATGCCTGATATTGAGACTCGTGTGCTATACAGTACAGGACAGACCCTAGGACCTGCATGTTTATTTCAAAAAATGTGAGTAGGCCGGGGCGGTGGCTCACGTCTGTAATCCCAGCACTTTGGGAGGCCGAGGCGGGCGGATCACAAGGTCAGGAGATGGAGACCATCCTGGCTAACACAGTGAAACCCCGTCTCTACTAAAAATACAAAAAATTAGGTGACGTGGTGGCGGGCGCCTGTAGTCCCAGCTACTCGGGAGGCTGAGGCAGGAGAATGGTGTGAACCCGGGAGGCGGAGCCTGGAGTGAGCCGAGATGGTCCCACTGCACTCCAGCCTGGGCGACAGAGCGACACTCCATCACAAAAACAAAGCAAAACAAAAACAGTGAGTTGACAAAGTACAGTGGAGAGGATCGAGAAGCAAATAGAGCATTTTGCCCGAGGGAATGGAGAAGGGTGGCACTGCCACTCTTCTTGCTGCAAACTATTCTTAGGCATATAATGATTATAATCAAACCACATGCAAAATAAGGAAATGTCTCTCCCACACCTGTTTGTAGCCACTGGGATATCCTACACTAGCAGGCAGTCTGAACTTACCATGGCAAATGCTTCAAAAGTTAGTACCCTCTCTCTGCTCCCTCCATCACTCCAGTCCAGCATCTGGACAGTTTTGTTGTGTTGCTGTCCTTTCACAGAAGAGACTTTGGGGGACGATTGCAGACCTTGTGGGACTCAGTTGATAAGTAGGAGGAGGACATTTGGATACAGTCTTAAAGACTGGAATGAGGAGATGGGTTGATGTCCGGTGTCCCCTGCAAAATTTCTTCTCTGTGATGATACAGGAAGTCAGAGGGTGAAAACGGTGGAAAAGAGAGACTGAGGTTAAGGCTTGGGATTTCACTAAAGGCATTAGGAAACCACCAGAGATTTTAAAGTTAAGAGTGGTATACACATGAGAGGTAAAGACATAGTTGGCAGCTCACTAGGGTAGTGGTTCCCAAACCTGGCTGTACGTTTATGGAGCTTTCTGTTTTGCACTTTTTAAAAAATGCTTTCTCTTCTGGATCTTTGTAGTCAGAAAAGGGAAAAAAAATGCTTGCGCTTGATAAAACAAAAAAATTCAAACTACAAAGGGGTAAATAGTAAAAAGTCTCTACTCCCAACCCTAAATCCTCCTTTTCCCCCACACAGTCCTGTGTGTATACCAGCATTTATGTATAAATATCCCCCTTTTAGTTTTATAAATGGTAACACACTATTAGTAGCTTTTAATTCTGAGATTATATAACCGCATTCTTTTTTTAGCAGCGTCCTAATGTTTCATTGGATAGATGTACCATAATTTATGGGTGCTTTTTTTTTTTTTCAATTTAAAAAACTCTTTCCCCAGCCTGGGCAACATGGCAAAACCCCATCTCTAAAAAAGTTAGCCAGGTGTGGTGGTGGGCGTCTGTAGTCCCAGATACTTAGGGAGGCTGAGGGAGGAGGATCGCTTGAACCCAGGAGGTCAAGGCTGCAGTGGGCCTTGATTGTGCTACATACCCCAGCCTGGGTGACAAAGTGAGACCCTGTCTCAAATAGAACAACAACAGAAAACCCAAAAAACTGCTGGGCGCAGTGGCTGACGCCTGTAATCCCAACATTTTCAGAGGCTGATGCTGGTGGATTGCTTGAGCTCAGGAGTTCGAGATCAGCCTGGGCAACATGGCAAACTCTCATCCCTACCAAAAATACAAAAATTAACTGGGCATCATGGTGTGCACCTGTGGTTCCAGCTACTCATGAGGCTGAAGTAGGAGGATCTCTAGAGCCTGGGAAGTCAAGGCTGCAGTGATCACGCCACTGCACTCTCCAGCCTGGGAAACAGAGTAAGACCCTGTCTCAAAAAAAAAAAAAAAAAGAATAAACGTTGTCAGCACCCTACAAGTTCCCCAAAAGTTCCTTTTCCTGTTCATAAACCTCTATTCTCTACCCAGAGGTAACAACTAGCCTTCTATTGTTTCCTTGCTTTTCTTTATAGTGTACTGTTTTTCTTCCCTGAATGATGTAGTTTAATTTCACCCATTTTTGAGCTTCATGTAAGTGGATGCTTGTCATATATTTTCTGTTACGGCTTGCTTTTTCTTCTCAACATTATGTATTTGTGAAAATCGTCCATGCTGTGCACCAAGCTGTGTGTCTTCATTTTTTTTTTTTTTTTTTGAGATGGAGTCTCGCTCTGTCACCCAGGCTGGAGTGCAGTGGCGCGATCTCGGCTCACTGCAAGCTCCGCCTCCCGGGTTCCCGCCATTCTCCTGCCTCAGCCTCCGGAGTAGCTAGGACTACAGGCGCCCGCCACCATGCCCGGCTAATTTTTTGTATTTTTAGTAGAGACAGAGTTTCACCGTGTTAGCCAGGATGGTCTCGATCTCCTGACCTCGTGATCCGTCCCCCTCGGCCTCCCAAAGTGCTGGGATTACAGGCGTGAGCCACCGCGCCCAGCCTGTGTCTTCATTTTTAACTGCTACTTAGTATTCTATCTTCATGATTATACCACATTGATTTGACTATGCCACTATCATTGGACATCTGGGTGGCTTCCATTGTGCATTTTCTTCACCTGCACAAAAGGCATAAATAAATATTTTCCTCACATGCTTGTTACACCAAGCAAATAAAGTAGTAAACAGAAAAATGCCTGGAAAATACTATGTGGAAAAACACAAATTTGAGTTAGTTATAATGGTTATAGAAATCAAAGAGGCCAGGTGCAGTGGTTCATTCCTATAGTCCCAGCACTTTGGGAGGCCAAGGCAGGTGGATCACTTGAGGTCAGTTAAAGACCAGCCTGGCCAACATGACGAAACCCGGTCTCTACTAAAAACAAAAATTAGCCAGGTGTGGTGATGTGTGCCTGTAATCCCAGCTACTTAGGAGGCTGAGGCAGGAGAATTGCTTGAACCTGGGAGGCAGAGGTTGCAGTGTACCGAGATCACGCCATTGCACTCGAGCCTGGGTGACAGAACCAGACTTTGTCTCCAAAAAAAAAAGGAATTCAAAGTTAGAGAAAGGAGATGGTGACTTAAGAGTAAAAAGGTGCTAATGTGGTAAAAATCACAAATCATTAGACTTGTCTAGAAGGTTGTTAGCAGTGACTTTTAGCAATGATGGTTATAGAAGCAGAATGTCTCAGAAGGAGGTGATGAATCCTAAGACAGTAAAATTGAAGCTGTAGTGAAGGCTAAATGAGGACTTTGGAATCCAGACTTCCCCCACCACAGGTCTGAGAAGCAGGTTTTTATAAGATGGTGTTTGCTGTATTCCTCACTTCCTTCATAAGAGACACTGGTTATGCCTCTGGACCCCTTTCCTCCTCCCTGGGGTCTTGAGATACCCAGAAAAAGAGTGAGTTTATCAGCATATTACTTAAGCTGGGAAATACTGCTGTAGGCTCCTTTGCTGCATCCATTTGGCTATAACTTTGAACTACAACCCAATCTATCATCAGTGTCAGGAAAATATGGGGATGATGCATTACAGCATGTGACCCCTGGAGGGCACTGAGAGCCTATTCTGTGGAAAACTTTTTGCACAACCTCTTTAGGTTATGGTTTAGGAACCTCACATCCTGTACAGCCAGAGGTAAGTGGCATTCTCAGTGGGAGAATGATATAGATTTCTCTTCTGTTCATTGGTTGAGAACTGTAGTGACAAAGCTCTTTTGGATTCCTCTAGGATCTAAGTGTGGCTCTATACAAACACTTCCTCTCCCTACCTGACGGGGAGACCTGCTCAGATGCCTCAAGAGAACTCCGGCTCCTCTGCTGTGACATAGATCCAGTCCTGGTGAAGCGAGCCGAAAAAGAATGTCCTTTTCCTGATGCCTTGACCTTTATTACCCTGGACTTCATGAATCAAAGGAAAAGGAAGGTTCTCTTGAGCTCTTTCTTAAGCCAATTTGGACGTTCAGTTTTTGACATTGGCTTCTGTATGTCAATAACCATGTGGATTCATCTGAACCACGGAGACCATGGCCTGTGGGAGTTCCTGGCCCATCTTTCCTCCCTCTGCCACTACCTCCTTGTGGAGCCCCAACCCTGGAAGTGTTACCGGGCAGCTGCAAGGCGTCTCCGAAAGCTGGGACTCCATGATTTTGACCACTTCCACTCCCTTGCCATCCGAGGTGATATGACCAATCAGATTGTGCAGATCTTGACCCAGGATCATGGCATGGAATTAATATGTTGCTTTGGCAACACCAGTTGGGACAGAAGCCTTCTGTTCTTCAGGGCAAAACAAACCATAGAGACTCATCCAATCCCTGAATCACTGATAGAAAGAGGGAAAGAAAAGAACAGATTATGATTCCAGAAGCAGTGAGATGGGAGGGCAAGAAGACCAAGAAAGAGATACTGAAAGAGTTTTATATTGAGAATTATGTTCATTCTCCTTAACTCCTTAACAATCAGGCAGCCTCAAAACCTGGCAGGAGCTTTTGGTAAAATGTCCAAGGCATATAATTCAAAGAATCGGTATCTGTTCCCCATTGTTTGGAACAAATCTTGTGGAGAATGAATCTGTGGAGTGGTGAGCTAGGGTATCTGGATTGGGATGGCCTAGGAAAAGTGGTCCTAGTTATGGGTTATGGAGGGGGCTGCTTTGGGGGATTATTTATAAAGATAAAACTAGGCTAGTCTTAAAATATATCAGTTCCTGGGCTCTCTGAATCTTACCTGGTTTCTTCAGGCTTCTGGACTTGCTAGGCCTGACTTTGGGCAAAACCTTAGTAATTCAGGTTTGGAATGTGGCTTAGGAATCTATTTTCTGCCGGGCGCGGTGGCTCAAGCCTGTAATCCCAGCACTTTGGGAGGCCGAGACGGGTGGATCATGAGGTCAGGAGATCGAGACCATCCTGGCTAACACGGTGAAACCCCGTCTCTACTAAAAAGTACAAAAAACTAGCCGGGCGAGGTGGCGAGCGCCCGTAGTCCCAGCTACTCGGGAGGCTGAGCCAGGAGAATGGCGTAAACCCGGGAGGCGGAGCTTGCAGTGAGCAGAGATCCGGCCACCGCACCCCAGCCTGGGTGACAGAGCGAGACTCCGTCTCAAAAAAAAAAAAAAGGAATCTATTTTCTGTTTTTTGTTTGTGCATTTTTCTATTATAGTAATATATACATAAAATTTACCATTTTAACCGTTTTTAAGTATAGTTTTTCAGAACATGTGGAAATCCCATCCAAAACTGGATTAAAAATTAAAAGATAAATAATTTTTTAAAAAGTATACAATTTTTGGCCGGGCGCGGTGGCTCAAGCCTGTAATCCCAGCACTTTGGGAGGCCGAGACGGGCGGATCACAAGGTCAGGAGATCGAGACCATCCTGGCTAACACGGCGAAAGCCCGTCTCTACTAAAAAAAACACAAAAAATTAGCCGGGCGAGGTGGCGGCGCCTGTGGTCCCAGCTACTCGGGAGGCTGAGGCAGGAGAATGGCGGGAACCCGGGAGGCAGAGCTTGCAGTGAGCTGAGATCTGGCCACTGCACTCCAGCCTGGGCGACAGAGCGAGACTCCGTCTCAAAAAAAAAAAAAAAAAGTATACAATTTTTGTGACATTAAGTACATTAACAATGAGGCATCTGTTTTTAACAGCTCCCCCAGATGATTCTGAGGCAAGCAGAGGTAGACCATACTTTGAGTGCTTATGGTTCCATTCAGCCCTCCTCTATGTATTTTTCCTGGTATGAGTTCTTCCCTGTGACTTTAACAACTACCTGCATGCTTATGGTCCCCAAATATATTGGTAGCCCTACATCCACAGTCCCAGACTAGCATTTTTCCTGTTTTGTCATTATATCCCTTAGTTCTTAGGTACATCAGATTCAACATATCTCAAAAGCAAGCTCATTACAGTATTCATTGCTTACGCTAGAAACCTCAGTTGATTTTCTCACTTACATTCCCCACATTTAAATGCTCACAAAGTCCAGCAGCAAATTCTATCAATTACATGTACGTTTCATTCCATCCATGTGTCCAGTGCCTGGTGGGGGGTTCCTATATTAAAGTCATCTACCTTACAATCCATTCTCTGCCTTTCAGCCACAGTTTACTCATCTGTACAACTGAAATAACACCACTTTCCTTTTCCTATGCCCAAATTTCCTAAGGATGTGAAGGTATTTTGCAGAATATAGAGTGATAAAGAAAAATAAGGTGCTATTACACTGTGTGAGCATGCTGCAGACCACAACTGCACTTGTTAGACCAGAGGCTTATGAGAAAAACATCTCACCTTGTAGAAAACATGCATCTTACTATCTCGAATAACTTGTTTTTCAGGATAATGAAGTAATAAGGAGTCCAGCCTCAGTGCTACAGAACATTTTAAAGGAAGCAGTGTTGGCAGGGAGGGATATGGAGCTAATAGAAATGAGGCCGGTTTATGATGGTCTCAGTTATCACAGTAGTTACAGAGCTGAGTTTACCCACAAGATCTTAATTTAGGAACACTTTGAAACCTTGTAACCCTGCTAGGTGCTCTCTCCTCTCACTCCACCAAGGCAGTGCACAGAAACATACGTGGCGCTATGGTAGGATGAATAATGGTTCCCCAAGATGTCCACCTAATCCCTGAAACCAGTGAATGTTACCTTAGATAGCAAAAGGGGCTTTGCAAATGAGATTGAGGATCTTGAGATCGGTAGATTAACCTGGATGATCAGAATAGACCCTAAGTGCAATCAGTGTTCTTATAATAGGGAGGCAGAGGGAGAGCTGACCACAGTAGGAGATGTAATGACAAAAGCAAGAGGTTGGAGTGATGTGAAGAAGGGCCACAAGTCAAGGAATGCAGGTGGCTTCTAGAAGTTAGCAAAAGCAAGGAAATGTATTCTCCCCTGAAGCCTCCAGAAGGAACAGCCCTGCCAACACCTTGATTTTAGATTTCTGATCTCCAGAGCTGTAAGAGAATAAATCAGTATTTTAAACCACTAAGTTTTTTGGTGATTTCTTAGAGCAACACTACAAAACTAATACATGGACTCTGACTACAGTGAGACTGGCTTACAAAGCCAAGTGGCACCTTTCCCAGATAACTCCTTGATAACAGAAAATAACCTCAGTGACCAGAAGGATACACAGGAGCTTTGTCCAACATGGCTAATTAAGAAATACCCAGGTGCAGTGGCTCACGCCTGTAATCCCAACACTGGGAGGCTGAGGCAGGTGGATCACTTGAGCTCAGCAGTTTGAGACCAGCCTGGGCAACATGGCAAAACCCCGAATCTGCAACACACACACACACACACACACAAATTAGCTGGGAGTGGTGGCACGCACCTGTAGTCTGGTAACTTGGGAGGCTGAGGTGCAGGATCACTTAAGCTCAGGAGGCTGAGGTTGCAGTGAGCCAAGATCATGCCACTGCACTCCAGCCTGGATAATAGAGTGATACTGTCTTAAAAAAAGAAATCCTCAATAACTAAAAGCTTTGGGAGATGCTTCAGCATCCGAACCTGACCTGTTCCCTAGTAAGAGATTGGCTGAGCAGTTACCTGACCTGTTGGGAGGAACCACTGTATTTCACGTCTGTGGCAGTTGGTTTCAAAAAGGATGTGTAATTAGTGCCCATAAAAATGAGGTCCTCAGGTCGGGTGCGGTGGCTCACATCTGTAATCCCAACACTTTGGGAGGCCAAGGCGGGAGAATCACTTGAGCCCAGGAGTTAAAGACCAACCTGGGTAATACAATAAGACTTCATCTCTACAAAAAAATTTAAAAATTTAAAAATTAGCTGAACATGGTGGCATGCGCCTATAGTCCTAGCTACTCGGGAGGCCGAGGTGGGAGGATTGCTTGAGCCTGAAAAGCAAGGTTGCAGTGAGCCGAGATCATGCCACTGCACTCCAGCCTGAACAGCAGAGTGAGACTCTATCTCAAAAAAAAAAAAAAAAAAAAGGAATGGCAGTATAAGCATATTTAGTCATATAGAAGAATCAGCCAAAAAGTTAAAATGGCTCATTGCTGGGGGTAAGAAATGCAGCAAATAATTGCTTCTGTATTATTTGATTATTAAAACATATGGACATATTACTTTTTATACAAACTAATCTTAAATGAATAATTTTTTAAAGTAGCGAGTGTTTTCTAAAATAACTCTCACTGTACCACCCATCTATCTGCCTAATTTTTCCTTCACAGCATAGCCAAAATCTTAGAAAAGTTTTTTGTTGTTGTTGTTTGTGTTTTTGTTTTGTTTTTGAGACAGTCTCACTCTATTGCACAGGCTGGAGTGCAATGGCACAATTGGCTCACTGCAACCTCCGCCTCCCAGGCTCAAGTGATTCTTCTGCCTCAGCCTCCTGAGTAGCTGGGATTACAGGCACGTGCCACTGCGCACAGCTCGTTTTTCTATTTTTAGTAGAGACCAGGTTTCACCATGTTGGCCAGGCTGGTCTTGAATTCCTGACCTCAGGTGATCCACCCACCTCGTCCTCCCCAAAGTGCTGGAATTACAGGTGTGAGCCACTGCGCCCAGCCAAAAAGTTTTAAACACCTCCTGTCTCCATTCCTTCCTTTGTACATTTTTCTCAATCCTTCAGAATCTGGTTTTGCCAGGTTGGGCGGGGTGGCTCACGCCTGTAATCCCAGCATTTTGGAAGGCCAAGATGGGAGGACTGCTTGAGCCCAGGAGTTTGAGAACAGCCTGGGCAATGGAGTGAGACCCCATCTTTGTTTTAAATAAACAAATAAAATCTGGTTTTATCAAAGTCTCCAATGACAAGTGGCCAGAGTCAGTAGGGATGTCTCTGTCCTGATCCAACTTGACTCAGCAACATCGGGGCCAAAAAAATCATCTCTTCCTATTCATGGGGAATTGGTTCCAGGACCCACAAGGATACAAAAATCAAAGGATGCTTAAGTCCCTTACATAAAATGGTGTAGTATTTGCAAATGACCTAGGGGTATTCTCCTATATATTTTAAATCATCTCTAGATTACTTATAATATGTAATATTATGTAAATACTATGCAAATAGTTAACACTAATTTTTTTTTTTAAGACGGAGTCTCGCTCTGTCGCCCAGGCTGGAGTGCAATGGCGCGACCTCGGCTCACTGCAAGCTCCACCTCCCGGGTGCATGCCATTCTCCTGCCTCAGCCTCCTGAGTAGTGGGACTACAGGCGCCCACCACCTCGCCCCGCTAATTTTTTATATTTTTAGTAGAGGCAGTGTTTCACCGTATTAGCCAGGATGGTCTCAATCTCCTGACCTCGTGATCCACCCGCCTCGGCCTCCTAAAGAACTGGGATTACAGGCGTGAGCCACTGCGCCCAGCCTAAATTTTTAAAATTTTGCATTTTTATTGCTGTAGTTTTTTTTTTTTTTTTTCTGATCTAGTCTTCAGAGAGATGTAGTTTTTTTGTTTGTTTATTTTTCTGATCTGAGGTTGATTGAGTGCATGGATGTGGAAGTCACCAATAAGAAGGACTGACTGTATTTGGTCTTTTTTTTTTGGAAATCCCTTTCTTGGGTTCTGGTGACAATGTTCATTCAGTTTTCTTTCTCCTTCTCTGGAGACCCCCCTCTAATGTTGATGTTCCTTGGGGTTCTGCTCCAGCTTTTCTTTTCTCTACTTGCATGATCTCCTCAACTCCATGACTTCAGTAACCACCAATGTTCTGAGGACTCACAAATCTCTTATCTATCATCCCAATTCCTCTCCTGAGCTTCAGAATTATTTATCCCACAGCCTACAGCAGTGCTTCCCAACCTTTTCCATGTCAGTACACACATAGAAAACGATGGTGTTTTATATGCTGGATGATGCAATCTGGCATAACCAAGATTGCTCTCTGACTCAGGAAGCTTGTGCTGCCCTGAGAATTGTGAAGCCCAATATGCAGCACCACCTTAACCTCTTCCTGAGGCACACAGTTGGGAAGTTCTGACGAGTTGGAGAGACGTTTCTACTTGGATGCCCCTTGGGGATTTCAACATCCTCCCCATCACCACTATCACTTTCCTAGTCCAGACCACATCATTTCTCATTTTTCTCCTCAGGTACTACAAAAACCTTGCCTGGCCCCCCTGACTTCAGTCTTGCTCTCTCTATCCTCCACACTGCAACCACACTGATCTAAAATGCAAATCTGACTATGCTACCCTCCTGCTTAAAACCATTCAAAGTCTACACTGCTCTTAGGATAAAGGATGGTCTACCCACTGCTTACCTTTCCAGTCTCATTGTTTATCATACCCCACATGAACTCTGTACAAGTTATCTAATACTTTATGTACAGTGCTTAGCATATAGATTCAATAAAGATGTTCGAATGATGAAAAGTGATGAACAAGAGGTTCAAGGATATGAGCAGATTCATCATATCTGTGCCAGGTAGGAGGTTTCAAAGCACATACTGGCAATGCTGTCAGAATCCAAGGAACATGACTGTCCCGTAGAGAATTATGTACATGTAGCAGTAAAGATCTATTCCTATACAGCAAGTGGACCAAACATTATACAACAGCTTCTTTCTTCCTATTACTGATCAGGAAAGACATTGAGATTGCACTCAGAGTTCATCTGTCTGGAAAACAGCCATATTATAAAAATGTTTTGAGGTCAGGCATGGTAGCTCACATCTATAATCCCAGCACTTTGGGAGGCCACAGTGGGAGGATCGCTTGATCTCAGGAGTTCAAGACCAGCCTGAGCATACAGTGAGACCCTGTCTCTACAAAAAATGAAAAAATTAGCTGGGTATGGTGGAGTGCACTTGTAGTCCCAGCTAGTTGGTGGGGGCTCACTTGAGCCTAGAAGTCAAGGCTGCAGTGAGCTGTGATCACACCACTGCACTCCAATCTGGGTGACACAGCAAGACCCAATCTAGAGAAAAAAAAAAAAAGAAAAAATGTTTTAAGAGGCTAGATACCAACCTGACTATCTCCTGTTGCCAGGAGTTCTAAACTAGAGTCAGTTTGTCAGCCAATGGCTAAATGGCTACAGTTTCAACCTCTGAGAATTGAAGATGCTCCAACATTAAATGAATGACCACATAGTATTAAAGCAGGGAACCCCATT